GAGGGGGAGGATGGTCCAGAGAGAGGGGCCAGACCACAAAGTGTTTCCTCTATGGAGAGTAAGTACTCAACCTCATGGTAAACATTTTGGAAACTTTTATGCTAATGTGACAGGGTAATTTTCTGTCTTTGAATCCACTAGCATAACTAAAGCTTTGTATTCTTGACCACCTTGGTGGTTGTTTTTATTTATTTGACAGACAGATCACAAGTAGGCAGAGTCATTTATTTATTTATTTTTTTAATTTCACTTCCTGGTCATTTATTTGTATCGTGTCAACCCAGGATGGTTTAGAAGTTTTAAAAACCATTCTGTTCCTCCAATCACCCAGAATCCCCACACTCTTCAGCCAAATTCCCAAGGTTCCTGTACTGCCTTCCCCAATCCTTCCTGCCTCTCCTGGGTTCTCCTCCATCCTCCTGGTGAGGCAACTCCCTCACCCCACCCCAGCCCCGCCCCAGCTTCAAGGCAGTATCTTATTAGCTACAGGGTGGCAAACTCCCCAGCAGCCTTCCTGATACGTGAGCTGCCTCTGCGGATTCTTTTAAGCCACCGTGAGGCTCAGATCGAAATGAAGAGTTAAGTGGCCAATCATCCATCAACATAGCTAAAATAACGCAGGACTCCAGCCCCAGAAAATGGTCACGGTAAGAGAATAAATGACTGGAAACCTGTCAGTGGGCCTTACCCATGTTAATTAACCCAAACGAGAGCCTCAGCCTGCCCGACAGATGCTGTCCATCCATCACTCTAGGCCTGAGAGGCAAAATAAAATGGCCTTGGCCTCCCTCCTACACGGAGGTGGATGTTTGCAGAGAGATCACACACCAGCTTCAGGAGAAATGAGAAGTTCTTATCAGAATGAGTGCTCTGTGTGCGGCACCAAGTCTGCTGCCTTCGTCACGGGAAGGGCCCTGGATGTGGAGACAGCATTAGCTGTGCCAAGCAGTACCAGCGGAACTGCCCATTACAGGGAGTCCTGAACTGACTGCAGAGAGGGATTTAAACATGTATGCATCTCGGGGCATCTGGGTGGTTCAGTTGTTCAAGCAGCTGCCTTCAGCTCAGGTCATGATCTCGGGGTCCTGGGATGGAGGCCCACATCAGGCTCCCTGCTCAGCGGGGTGTCTGCTTCTCCCTCTGCCCCCCTCCCACTCACATGTTTTATCTCTCTCTCACAGGTAAATAAAATCCTTAAAATAAAGTAAAATAAGTATATATGCATCTCCTTGAAACTGAATGGAGAGAAAAACAGATTGATGGCAAGGATGGCCAGGACAGAACGACAGAATGAGCAAAGGAAACCACAGGTAAGGGGAGATCCAAAGAGCACCAACCATCCTCAGAGTGTGGGTGCACTGGGGCTCTGTGTGGGTCTAGGTTCCAGGCAGACCCCATGTTTAAAAAGTTCCAGGGGGGCTCCTGGGTGGCTCAACGGGTTAAAGCCTCTGCCTTTGACTCAGGTCATGATCCCAGGGTCCTGGGATCGAGCCCCACATTGGGCTCTCTGCGTGGCGGGGAGCCTGCTTCCTCCTCTCTCTCTGCCTGCCTCTCTGCCTACTTGTGATCTCTGTCAAATAAATAAATAAATAATCTTAAAAAAAATAAAAAATAAAATAAGAAGTTCCAGGGACAGAAGTACAGTAAATCCACTGTAAAACAAACATCTTTCACAGTTGATAAGACATCTGTCATTAGTGGCATCAGAAAAGGGACCCCTGAGATATGGAGGAAGGGCGGGGGGAGGGTAACATGAGCGAGTGTTTTAGTCAAGTCTCTGCACTTCTCTACATACCTGAAATATTTCACCATTTCATTTTTTTCAAATAAAATCAGAGAAAATATACATGCTGTTGTTTGGAAACCTCTTACTACAAACCGGGGATTCTGATTAAATCCGGCCAAAGCCAGACATACCTTGCGAAGACAACCGCTCTGCTCCTCTATGAGTGGCATGGTGACAAGACACATGGCTGCCCACAGCTCTGACCTCTGTCCCCATGGCCCTACCACCCCCTTCCCTCGGCCCAGGAGGGAAGTAGGTTTTTGTCTGCCATGCCTGTTCATTGGTACCGGGCAGTGGCTCTCCCGCAGGCAATCCTCCAGGCTCCCGGGCACCTGTCAGTTCAGAGAAAGAGGAACGAGAAGCCCATGTGCACCACAGGCAAAGGGCCAGGAAGGTGACACACATTGCTATGTTAACCATCTTCCCAAAGCCTGCTGCCCCTATTATGCTAGTTTAAAAGCTGGTTCCTGCCCCATTCCAGGCGAGCTAGCAGACAACGCATGGGACTCAGCTGCGCAGCACGCAGCCAAGTTCAGGCGCTGACATTTCCTAAGACATGACAAACGTCCTGGGAACCACAGAAGGAAATCTAAGCCCAGGCAGTGAAGGTGTTTCATTTTAATCGCATCTCACTGCCATCAAAGCCCCTGCCTCTTCTAAGATGACTCATCTCTGACGCCAACAGGAAAACATCATTAACTTTAAATCCCATAATCTGGATTTCATGATTAACATATTTCAATGTCTGTACTACTGGGATAAACACACACACACACACACAATGTCTTTACCTCAAATCTTTCCCTCTTTATACTCATTTACTCAGCTTACTGTGAGGCCACGGGCCACGTTCTGTGCTAGCCACTGGCGGTATGAAGACTAGGAAGGCCAGTCCTAGCCCTCAAGGAATTTACAATCTAAACAGACCCACAGTAAGTAAAAGCCATTTTGATTCTACTCTGCACCTTCTCTGGCAATATGTATTCACGAGATCTACTGGTGTGGCTCTGGTTTTATTTTCACCACCAACACTGCATCTTTCTCTTCTGGTCATGTCTCAAGAAATCAAAGTTAGAATCTGGTTCTTTGAAGTATTACGGCACCAAAAAACAAAACAAAACAAAACAAAAACAGGTATGGGATCTACCCACCCCTTCAAAAAAACCCTTTCTGACATCAATTTTCCTCTCTGATCACAGGCTCTGTGGTAATCAGAGTTCAAGAGTCATTAGTTCTTAGAAGCCAATATTCCTGACCTAAAAGGACTCCCATGGTCACGCAGAAACCTAAGCACAAAGCCAGAGCAACTTTCTCCTACTTAAGTCAAAAAGGAGATGCTGTGGGCGGAATGGTGACCTGCTGCCTCTCCCTCCAGGAAGACCCAACTATTTCCACACTGCTGGGGCTTGCCCCAGTGTATGCAGGCCACGTGCTGCAGACTCTGAAGGCTATTTAAGGGATTATCAGAAACGCAAACTCATCTGTGATATGGCTTTCAAGTTATAAATGTCAATGACAGCCAAGTCTGCTGTGTTGGGAACTCCTCCAACAACAGGTTGACAATAGCCCAATTCGAGGGCTCTGGAGGAGGCTGACAGACAGCTGCTCTTTCGTAGTTATTCTCAAAGGAGCCAAGAGGCCCCCTCCAAAGGCAGCTAGATATGGCATGCTCAAGAGGGAAGGTGACAACATATTTGGTGGCAGATAGACATAGCCCAGGAGTGCCACAAATGCCAACGCGTCTGTCTGCTCCGTGAAGGCTGTCAACCCCACACAGTGCAGAGCTGAGAGGAGGAGGTGGGGGCAGATACGGACACTAAAAAAAATAAAATTAAATTAAAAAATCGCAGCACAAGGAAAGGCAGAAAGACACAGATTTATCCTTCCCATAGCATATGCCATGGCAGCTGGGTATCAGGGACCATAGACCCAGATCCAGGTCTCCTCGAGGTCAGCCTGCTACCCACAGCTGCCATGCCTGGCAAATCTCAGTGGGCAGTGCGTGAACTTGCCCTATCTGTCAACAGTGAACTAACTGCCAAAACAGACTCCTGAAGATACACTGTTAAGTTGTGTAGTCCCCAAAATGAAGTCCCATTCTAATTAAGTGATGTGTGTACCCTATGGGGGTGTGGGGGAGGGAGAAGGATGGATTAAGTAGGCCTGTTCCATCTTAGACAAAATCCCATGTCCTCAGAAATTCAAACTCCCTTTGAGGTTCTGAAGGAGACATTTCTTGTTTCTCTGGTCTCTCCCAGCAGGACAAATTCTCAAGGTGACAGCTAGAGAGAAGCCGCTGATACAAGTCACACGGTCACATCATTTTCTGGCTCTAACTTTAAGGCCTTTATTCACATCAGACATCTGTCTGTTTGTGAGTTGCTGGGGTAGCTTTTTTTTTTCCCCTGGGGTATTTTTTTTTTCCTGTGATGTTGTTAGAGACAAAGTTTGTTCAAAGACCCACATACATAAAAGAAACAGGAATTAGCAATGTTTAAAGTTTCATTCTGTAAGCCTCATACCCTTGACACCCAAATCCTAGCAGGCTGCGAAATCTGGATACTCTGCTCCCAAGTTAACAACTCATTTACCAAGGTAACTCTCAAGGGTAGCTTGGGCGGGGACTTTAGGCACTATGGACTATTCAGATGATTCAAATAAAGAAGTACTTAGCAAATTTCTTCCTCCATAAAAATACGTCCTTAACTGAGGACTTAGGAAAATGTACTTCTTGAGTTCCTTGATACACAGTTCAGAGACTGTGCAGTCTTTGGCAATCACGCTCTTCGTCGGTCTTACTTATATTCACCTCATGATCCTCTGTGTGAGATTTCCGTTGGGCTGCCCTGAAGGAATCAGCCATTCTTTGGAAGGGAATCATACTAAATAAAGTCGTGTTTGATCATGATTGAATAAAGCAATAAATGGCCTTCTGCTCCAGTCACTTTACTAATTTTAGACAGATAAAATATCCTTGCCCAATTGTCCCAAAAGATTAAACCCCACCAGGCCTTCACCAGAGAGCTGAAGATGTCCCCTGAGGATTGGGATGGCACTGGGAGAGGCACCCCTCAGCCCTTTGGGACTAGGGGTCCGTATTTAGACTCTTCCAAATGCCAACATCTGACTCAACTATTGGAACTTCTCCCTCCCAAGGGCAAATATCCTGGGTCTATGCTAAGCCACATGGATATCTGCTTACGTCAATACTTACATGACCTAATGGATCCTTCTCCAATGTCCTCTTTAGAACAGTAATCACTCCTGAAACCACAAGGACAAAGACATTTTTAAGTTTCTCCTTTTTAACAACTTGATCTATTGCAAAAAGGCTGACAAAGATCATCTACGGACTTTGCCTCTCCCGTTTTGCAACCCAACTGCCTTTTGATGTAGTCTCCCAAAAAGAAACAACCTAAAAACAGCTAGTTGGGAGGCCCTATCACTTCAACACCCAAAGGCATTACCAATAATAATAATAATAATAATAATAATAAAAAAATAAACTATTATCTCATGTGTTAAGATTCAAATCCAACCATTATTAGTTTAGCAGGAGTAAGGCTACGTTTGGCAAAGATGGAGCTTCTGCACAAAACTTCTCTTTGTTGCAAGTCTCAGGAGGCACTAAATCCAAGCTTTTACCAATTCTAATGCTTCCCGGACTAGATTGCATTAATATACACACACAGTTCCAAGTATATGTATACACACAATTTGAAAAACAGATAGCTCTATCACAAAAAACTAAGGAGTTTTCAAGAGGAGATAAACCCAATTGAATTGCAAGCCTGTTCACTCATATGTAACAGATTACTTGTGGCAACTTCACCTTGAAGAATAAATTTTTTTAAAAAAGAGTGAAAGCATTTTAGAAACAGATCTACTATATGCTTCTGATAAAGCTAGTGTCTTCCCTCTAAAATACTCCTTTATAAAAGAAAAGGGGGGAACATGTCCTTTAATAGATCTATTCAGCATGTTTCTGATACTCCTGGAATTTATCATCAGAGAATTATAAAACTGAGAGTTTGGGAGGGAGTGGGGGAGGCAAGGAGAGAGGGGGGAAAGCAGGAGGGAGGAAAAAAATAACAACCATGTTGCACCGACCCATGTCCAAGCTGACTGCCCAAAGTATTCTTAAGACTAACCGACTACTGAAGGACCTCACAGCAGAACATGCACCATGTCCTGCTAGGAAATGTCGGAGTTTTGTCACTTTTTAAATATAAACAAGTCAATTCCCTCTCTACGTGGTCTATAGCATTCAACTACCCTTTGCAGCAGGAACATCTGCGTCCCAGTCAATGGTCTGAGCAGTAACGGGGCCGCGCCCTGGGGCAACTGGGGAGAGGGGGTTCCACCTGCAGCCCTTCCAAACCCACTGACTCCATCCAGCAGTCTTGCCTCACAGACTTTTACTCAAGAAGGATGGAAGGTTAGAAAGAATTCAGTCAATGCCAGGGACCACACGGCCCCCTCTTTATACCAGCCTCCCATCTGGACACAGCTCTGAGGTGAAGGAATGGTTTCTGGAAGCACAATATTGTGACAGAAAAAACCTGCTAACTCCACCAAGTCCCGTCATCGAGATCTATTTTAAGAAAACAATCCCAAGCATTTTGGTCAGTATTGAAACCCTTTCATTCACAGGTATTGGTGTGGGCTAACAAAACAAATACCTTGTGCCTCAGACCTAAATGACACAGGCAGACTTTCAGTGCTTTTACCCTCTACTCTAGGTTTTCTTCAACATCTCAAGTGGTGCATTACACGGCAATTTTCTGACTGAGTGCTGGGATCAAGCAGTAAGATGGTAAGATTCAAAAAATGTTCAAGATGTGCCCTCCGCCCCACCCCCACCTCCCCAAAATTTCAACTTCACCTCCCCCCCATGCTTTCAAATCTCCATTTTTTTCTTCAATGATACTCCTATTAAATAAGAACTCAATCTTGATTTCCCCAGAAGCATCAGACCAGCTAGTCTCCAAGTCATCTGAGAACTACTGCATTACCCTCGGCTCTATCATTAGCAAAATTCATGGTCGCCATGAAACCAAAAGGCCATTCGTGTCTATCCTCAGCAAAGCTTTAATGTTCAACTCATCTTAAGTATCATTTCCTGAGGAGCCAAATATATAACATTAATGAAAATTTGCAACCACTTTTAGCCACGTCTCTAGACCAAGAAAACACTGAAGGAAGCCCTTTCTCCTTCCTCATTTTCAAAACAGCACCACTTGCTAAGATTTCACCCAAAAGTTTATTTTTTGGGGATTAATAGGCTCTCTCACACTCTTCTTGAGCTTATCCTTTTCTTTCCTCTTAATTACACCTCATCTATGAAAGCATTTATAAAGCATCACGGGAATTCAATTCAATCTACAAAGAATAAGGCAGAGATCACGGGGGCTGGTCAGTAAAAACGTAGCCAGGAAAAACTGGAATCCCATTTTCAACCAATATTTTAGCCCTTTGTTATTTGGGAGAAAAGATATTGTAAGTGGCCCAGAAGCAAAATAGCCTACTTGACCAGCTCTGAACTCTAGGGTGGCATTCTGTGAAGAATCTGTGTTAGACTTTCTTGCTTCGCATGTTCAAGGACCATCTCTGCGGTACCTCCTCTAGATCCAATGACAGAGGACGATGGCGGCCAATTTCAGACGTGGGGGTCTCACACCTCCTCACTCCTCATGCCCGTCTACACCAGAAGCTGTCGGACTGATCCCCATCTCAGATTTACATTCAAGTTTTTCACTCTCTTATTCCCTATGGACCCTCTCTCCAGAGAATCTCAGAATCTTGATGCCAAACAACCATGGACATAGCTCAAAGCAGTCTCTCCCTCTCTCATTTTCTAGAACCTAGTAAAGCAAAGTGCCTCATGGATAGCACTGAAGCTGTCCTGTAGACTTACTCCTGTGAGAAAATAGCTAGAAGGGAGCGTAGAGCCCTGCTCAAAGTAACTTCATGCCTACAAAAATAATTTCAAATGATTAAGACCACCTACTGGTACATGTGAGAAACAAATCATGAGCATGTTTATAAGCTTTAAGTCATTTGATCTTTCTTATCAAATAACAGAGAGTCACATAAAAAAAAAAAAAACCATAATTGCAATACTGGCCTCAGATGGTTTTCATCTTATGTGGGGCAGACTAGCTCAATTCATCACACAGTGAAATTCTGTCCCGTTACAAAGATCCTCGACCTCAGAACCTACACAACCTTAAATACGTTTGGTTGCAACATACTTCAAAACCTCCTAGCATCTTTCCAATTCAGCGAGGCTTCTCATCACACTGCCATTGAAAGTTTCCCAAAATAGAGTCAAATCTAAATCTGCCCCACATTGCTCATGCTGCCTGGACTCAAATAGAGAAGTCCAACTCTCACAAGCTGTGTGAGGACAACCCAGTGCCTCTCCCAGCCCCCATCCTCTTGTGTCTGAAACAAAGGGGATCACGGTGCCTCCTTCCAAGGATGGCGGTGGGATTCACACAAGCTAACACTACACAGCCAGAAGCACAGCCAGCACCCTGGAGAGGCAGCAAGCCCTCCACCAACAGGGGTGATTGTCACTGCTGTGGCTGCTACTGCTAGAACAGGACAGTGAATTAGTAGGATAATAAAAGACCATCTTAGAGCCAGTTGGAAGCCTAGAATCACAGCCACTGGTAATGCGTGATACATTACAGTTTCATCTTGTGAACAGCCATTTTGCCAGGCAGGTGTGACTATGACAACGATGTGGTGGCTTGGGACTTGGAATACCCTTAGCTAAAATGACTGTTCTCCTACAGATGGTCCCCACGTAAAGGGAGGGTTTGACTGACAAGTAAGGGAAAAAAAAATTCCCACCTTGCAACTTGAGAATTCATCACTAACTTGAATTCTCAAGACACTGGTATCCATCAAAGTCTATCCAAGATTTTACCAAGACAGGAGGACAGCGGGCTAAGAGAACCAGGAGACCACTTCTCTAGGTTAGCATCTGCTATTCATGTTCCCTCACAATGTCACGAAGAGCAGATGCCCTTGATGAAGCTTGCACACCACCCCAAAGACCAATTTGTATTTTCATCAAGATTATTTTAACAGATACTGGGGAATTAATCTTAGAGTTCAGTTTCTTGAACCTACCCCAAGTTATACCTGTGTCTGTCCCCTAGCCTAATGGTTCTCAACATGCCATCTCAAACCAAGAGTATCAACATCATCTGTGAGGCTTGCAATGCAAAATCTGTGAGGCTTGCAATGCAATGCAAAACCCTCACCCCACGCCTTCTGAATCCCAAACTCTAGGCTGTCGCCCAGGAGATTTGAATGCTAGCTCAAGTTTGAGAACCACTGCCAACAGGCTATTAACATGTGGGCTGGGGCATCACTATGGACGGGCTCTCTTCCTTCAACTATCTGGCATTTCTCAGATCCATAAAACCTGCTATAGGATGATGTCAGCTGTTCCTTTTATTTTTAATTCCTCATGAGGAGGCTGATGGTGATTCATGCAGCACCTTATGTGACTGCTTAAATAGTAAGAATCCTTCTTTCCCACCCCTAATGGAAGGTGACTGTTGCCTGTTATTTCTGATGTAATTACAGGAACAATTCAGTCACAAAAGCTTGTCCTTTATCAACCTCAGCAAAAGCTGTAATAGAGAGTTGTAATTATAACACTCCATTCTTTCCCATAATGTGCTCACAATAATGTACCCTTTGAAACTGATCATACCACATGTCATAACAAGGAAACACAGAACCCAGGATCAAATTTAGCTTATTGTAAATAGAGATCAAAACTGCAAGTGTCTGAGCACACCTTTTCCAATCGACAGGAAACAAGGATGCATTAGCTATCCAGCTGTACCTCATTCATCTAAGTGAAATATGGGGGGGGCGCTCGGGGAGGGGAGGATGTTGGTTTAATGCATTCTATGGTCCTAAGGTAACCTCACAATACTCAACGGTCTTCTCACCAGACACTACCCATCATCTAACTAATTATCAAAGCAGGAAGCATTAAGGAGCATTTCCTAAATAATAAATAACCCTTTTCCATACCTTTAATTTGTTGATGTGTGTATTAATTTGGAGAAGTTAATTTCATACTTGCTGTGAGGTCTCCTGATGAATTGTGAATACCAGCGAATTATTAATTTCCCTTTCCTTTTTGATTAATTTCACACTTAGGCTGGATAAGAAAGGTGAGATTAATGATGTCTGGAAGACAATGTTCAGTTCTTGTAAGATACTAAATCAAC